GTCCCAAAGCTTTGGGCCGTCCTCGACTGCTTTCCCAGGCCACAGGCAGGGAGCTGGAAGGGAAGCGGGGCTGCCGGGATTAGAACCGGCGCCCATATGGGATCCCGGGCGTGCAAGGCGAGGACCTTTAACCACTTGCGTCAACGTGCCGGGCCCTAAAAATTAACTTTTCAAGAAATACCATGCTGTGTTTATTTCTTCAGTATTGCAAATATTTCCACATTCCCTTTCAACATGTGCACTTCTAATTATGCAAGCTTGCCTTAGCTCTTATTTCATATAGATTCACTTTGAAAAACTTACAATGAATTTTATTTTTTATGTGAAGGTTTCCTTTGGCAGTGTTTTTTTCTGTATTCTAACATACTGCTGTTAGGTAATTTCTGTTTTCAGATGACCTCTTCATGCTGGCATTCAAGTCTACAGCTTCATCTCCCTAATATCACTTTTTCAGTGTAAGAGCACTCCTACTTACTAATACAATGAGCAAAACAAACAAACAAACAATAAAAAACCTAGTCATAAAAATCTAGGTTATAAACTAGAAAACAAAATCAATAGTAAGACCAATGCTAAAAGGTTATGCAAAGCCACAAGCTGTGCTCAACCACCAAGAATCCAAGACCAGGAAGATAATCAGAAATATGTGCTACATAGGCAAAAGATGTACTTTGCCTAAAAAGCATTTGATGTCAAATTGGTACATTACGGGAACTCCAAAAATGATGAAAACCCTGTGTAATTTAAGTTACTAGTTGCACTGCACATCAACCCTAAAGTGCCCACTTTACTTTCAGTGCCTTTTCTTACTAGGCTTTTAAAGATACTGTAGAAAATAAGTGTGTAAAAATCTCCAAAGATCCCGAGTTCAAGAATGGCTGATACAAATAGCTCAAAGACAGGAAAACTTCTCCAGGATCCTTTGTTATATTTTAACAAAATATCTCATTGCAATGGCTGACCACAAAGGTGATCACGGATGTTGATACTCAGTTTCTGCATTTTCTACCGAGAAAATTCTCAAGAAGGAACTTTGTTCAAAATGGTTACTAGATTGGTCATATAGTAGTATATAATAATAAAATTCTTTTGAATATATTCCTGAGTGTAGTAATTGCTGGACAGATATACTTCAAATTCAGAACATTCAAATTATATACGAACCCTTAACTGTCTATTCCATTTACCTCCCTGTCTTTTTTTCTGGTTACATTATTTATATTTTAAATGCAATTTACATATCTATTTTGCATGAAGACACCTTGAGCCAGTCATTCTTTGTGCAAGTATGAGTCATTTTCCGACATACAATATAGGAAAAACATTTTATCTGCAATTTTGGTCATGTGTACAAGTTGCTGAAAAAGGCTTCATTTATTTTCAAGATCAGATATTATTCAAAATCTCCTCTAGCCATCCAACACCATAAGATATCTGAATTAAAATGAAAAATACAATTTTTAAAGGTCTAGTAGAATAAATGTTTAATCACTTGAACCCAATTTTTACAGTCATAAATCTTAGAGGTCACTTGGCAGAATCATCAGTAACAATTTTTCATAGACAAGCCAATGAAACCAGAAAAGAAAAATTCTTTGAGAAAAAAGCCAAGTGACAAGAAGCTGGAATGTATCAGCCATAAAGGAGTAAGGAATCTCCTGGTTCTTCATAAACACCCCTTTGCACTAGAGGAAAAAATGCACAGTTGATAGCTGGAACTCTTTTTGATTTATAGGCAGATTTGGCTGATGTGAAAATAATTGTAGTAAATTACTCCAAATGTAATCTAAAAACATCAAGAACGCATACATTTCCCTACTGGTCCAAGATTGCTCATTAGTAAAGAATGAAATAATGTGACCCCTGAAAATTCTTCCTCCCACTTTGGAGAAACAGGCCTCGTACACAACGTTAACAACTTGAAGCAATGCCAACTTTGGGCAATGTTTGGAATGTAACTAGCGCTCAAGTATAGGTAGATAGCGCACAAGCCCAGTGTTGGCTCTGGTCTAGCTCAAGCCGACCTTGGATTAAGCGTGCATCACAAAATAATCCATAATGATAGGTGAGAATATTGAGGTGTTGGCTAATGTTCACTGAGGATGTTCCACAAACATTTGAACAATGATAACAGTGATTATGTAGAAGTGGTGCAAGATTTATGCCCCAATCAATAAAACTCATGTTGAGAAATAAAAAAATAGACTCTGCACTTTGCTAACAGCCTCTAGTTGGCTGATCAGCTAGAGTGTGTTTCATAAAAACACCCCAAAATGTACTAACTTTAACTCTAAATCCCTTACATTTGATATTTTCTTATATTCTGCTTTTAAGAACCCTTGTCACTACACTTGGCCCATTAGAAAACCAAGCTCATCTTCTCATCTCAAAGACTTTAACTTAACCACGTGTGATTTCCTTTTTGCCATAAAAAAGCAAATGCACAGGTTCCAGTAATTAGAACATGAACAACTCTGAGTAAATACGTTGCACTTAAGTACTGGAGCATTCTTTTCCAGTACCAAAGAGGTACTTTGTACAAATGACCTCCTTAATACAAGGATGGCAGCTTTTATAGCTTAATATAGGAAATTGAACTTGACCTTTTAGGAGACAGAAAAATTGCATTTAGAAATACAGGCTGAAAAGTGCAGCTTTTATCTGAGAACATTACTGGGAAATGTTGAGCACTGGCTGTGGGATTTAGGGATGGAAATAATACAGTACCACAGCAGTACTCTAAAGGAGACCTGATGGTGGCTTAGGATAGTGCCAGCAAACAGTGAGAACTTGAAGCCTGGCAGATATATTTTTAAGATGAAGGTCATAAGACTTGGATGCTGTGTAGTGGAAAGGGAGTAGTTAACATTTACATGAAGGATTTCAGCTGAGACTTTGCTGAGTGGAGGGAAGTACCATCTTTTCTTTATTCTTCTTACTTGAAAGTCAGCATTACAGAGAGAGACGGGGAGAAACAGAGGGCAGGGAAGAGAGATATCTGGCTCACTCTTCAAAAGTTACAAAGGTCAGAGTTGGGCTGATCTAAAGCTGGAAACCAGGAACTTTTTTCTGTTCTCCAATGTGGGTCAGTGGCCCAGACACTCTGCCATGCTCTGCTGCTTTTCCAGGCCATTAGCAGGGAGCTGGATGGGCAGTGGAGTCACCAGAATGTGAACCAGAGCCCATATGTGATGCGGGCAAATATGCCACCATGCTGACTCTAGAAAGCACAATTTATTAAACTGGGTAACGCTGCCAAATAAGAAAGTTCCAGTTTGGGATATACTGAGGTTGATTTACAAATCAAACACTAAGTAAATGTTTAATGGGGCAAATGGATGTAAGAGATTGGGGAAAGACTCATGCTTGAAGTGTGCATTTAGAAATTTAAGCACATAGGCAGTATTTCACATTATGAAATTAAGTGAATTCTTCAGGGGGCTGTTTGCGAAGTTATGTCCGTGGGTTGGAGCTGCACAGGTTCCTGTCCTGGCTGCTTAATTTCTGATCCAACTCCCTGCTAATGTGCCAGAGGAATCAACTGCTGCTGATATATCAGCAAGTATAGGACATGGAAATAAACATGGAGTGGGGAAACAAATGCTTGATTGTGTCTGCATAATGCACAGAATAGCAAGGATCTCTGTTGCCTTTCTAAACATCGATAAACACTTAAGCCTTTACGCTATGCGATTTGGAACTGATGAGTGATATAAATTTTAGTTTCCTTGAAGTTGAAGTAATGTCTCCAGTTGGCTGATCAGCTAGAGTGTGTTTCATAAAAAAAACACCCAAAAATGTACTAACTTTAACTGTAAATCCCTTACATTCAATATTTTCTTATATTCAAATCCACAAAAGTGGAGAAGCTTACTATAACTCAGGAAAGCTTTAAATTTTTTTCTGGTAAAGCATAACATAGCACAGGCAGAGTATAGTTCAAAAACAAAATTAACTTTGCTGAATTTCCTTATGATACTGACAGGGTCAAATATCACGAGCTCCAGATCAGAATTTGGTTTAAGCGATTCTTTAGTTGAAAACTGACAGTTGTGTGTATTCACTCTCCTCAGACTAATAGATCCATTGTTAATTGATGCTGATCGGCTGTGCATTCACTCCTCTTAGTAAAAGCCACTATTAAAACATTTTTGATACATAGGACAGTGCTTCAAAATTTGCAGAGAAATAAAATTAAAAGACATTTATTTTGGTACAACAAAATTTTGAAATTTTTTTTTCCTAATAAGTATCTTTCATGAACATTTTGAAGTTCCTTTGTATATTTCAATCATTGAACGGATACTTGATACATCTAGGAAAAGAAAATAAATGTTTTTGCTAATGTTCATTTCTTAAAATACAATGTATAAATAAAAAACATTATATACCATTCTCCAACGTTATGCTTTTCTCATTTCTTTTTTATAGAGGAAAAATTAAAAGATGATAGGAGGTATAGAGATATTAGGGGAAACTCTTTGCAAAAGAATGATATAAAATAATTTCCCCAGATTTCAACTTGAAACTAAGAGCTGAGAGCAGAAATTATCTTTCATGGCATGGATTCCTCCAGGCCAATAATGGATTTCATATGTGTTAGCATTTGCTCTTGTTGCTCTTACGCCCTAGTTATTTGCCCATTTTTCACAGAAGGATTAATTCCTGGCGTTTCTGTAGACTCATGGTCACATATTTCAATACTTTCTGTTTTGACATTCACCGGTTTTGGCTTTAAGGATACTTTTCATGACCAAGCATAGGGTGTACTTTTGAATTTCAATTTGACAAATAATCTGTGCTAAAAATGCCTTAATCTAATTCTAGTTGAAAACCAAATAAAGCAGTCTAATATCTAAATTCTCGCCTTGCATGTTCTGGCTATTTCCATCATTTAGGATGTAAAATAGCAGATGAAAGATCTTTCTCTCTGTAAATCTGTCTTTCTAATAATAACTAAATCTTAAAAAATAATAAGAATACAAGCCACAAACGTACTGTTATGGGACTTTGGTTTATTGTAAAATTTAGCAAAGATTTTTTGTAATCCCTGACCCCTTGTTCAGAAAACCATAATTATTGCTTCTTTTCTCCCCTGCTTTGTGCCATTTTAAAAAGGGGGGAGAAAAAATCATGACAATAAATAAAAATAGAAGTGTAAGAGAAAAATCAGTCCAGATGAGAAATATTAGGAGCAACAAAAACAGCAGCAAGCAATTTCAAAATAAGCTTCTTTCAAAAAGGTGTCTCATTAAAAAAAATTCACACTAAAAATACAGCAGTGGAGAAGAAAGATAAACATAAGTTATTTGCACACCAGTCTCATGCAGAAAACTGGGTAGTTAGCCAAAGCAGTAGTACTCAGATGCCAATTTGGGGTGCTTGTGCAGTGCCTGCGAGTCCTCGATTATGGAGCTGTCGCTGAATTGGTCCAAGTCAGAGGGGGTCTGATGGCCTGGGACATCATCAACCAAAGTGTCCAGATAGCTCCCCACAGAGATGCCGTCCAGCCCATCACTGCCATCGTGCAGGCTGTTGTAGCTGCCGTGTAAAGAGGTGTCTTGACTCTCAAGTAAACTACACAGGCTCCCGCTGAGACTGCTGCCTCGGCTGGTCATGGTGGCTTTTTCCTCAATCATCCACTTAAAGGACTCGATGCTGTCATTGATCACAAGCAACTGGCGCATGAGCCTGACATCTGTGGCTCTAAGATTAACCTATGGAAAAGAGAGAGAGAGAGGAAAGGAGTATGGTAATGTGACTGCTATTATTACACACGTTCAACATTAATTAGTAAAATATTATAATACACGACTATGGAAAATATTGTTCTTATCTGCATTTCATAAAAGAATGCAATCCACAGAAACGATCTCCTATAATTGCCCAGGTTCTTGTTGGAACTGAAATCCTGTGCCCAGAATGGAAAGTAGGGACATTTGTGGCCACTAGAGGTCTTACATCCATTGTGGTTTGAAAATGGATTCTGCTGTCTCTGGGCACTAATGTTCTCCACAGGATCCAAAGCTAATTCAGACTTGTGGCTATCTAGATGATCAAAGGTGCCCATTCTTGAATGACTCAAGGCATGAGGGTAAAAGGAGCCTATTGTCTTCAAAATTTACATTCATATTGTGAAAAATCCTTCCTGTTAGGAAGTTAATCCATAACTTTGGAGTTGAATGCACATAATGAACAAACACCACCAACATGCGGTCTCCACTAATGACTCCATAGATGCAAGATTACAGGCTTTAAGACTTTAAGTATAAAGACAAAAAGCGTAAAGTATAATTTAGAGCCTTAATTTTACTGGGATACTGAATGAACCTCAGTGATTTCCTCACCATCTCTGGGAAGAGCAGCAACATTAAAATTGCATGGATGATAATGGGGATAATTCTTTTCTTTCTAAAGAGGCCAGGAGCAGAAGGATGTGACTTTAGTATCCTGAGATGCTTTTATATTGATGTTATCTCTTTAGGCTGACAATGATGTGCTGAAGAAAGTCTTTACACGAAAATTCATATGTCCCCCAGATACCCCTACATACACACACCATGAGCCTCTAAGACAATGTGCACATTAAAATATCATAGAATGGATCCATTCTACAATAGTTGAGAAGGCTTGCTGTGCCCAGTACAAACACGGTAGATCATTTCAGAATTGCTCTCCTAAAAAACCACAGATCCATTTGTTCACATTCCCATCAGGCCACAGGAACATGTTCTAGCTCATGCCCATAGCTGCGCAAGCTTTCCTTTTATTGTGCTTGCTTGAAAAGCTTTATTCTCTACCTCTTCAAATTCTCTCCATTCTTCCTGCCCTGTCTTCCATTAAGCACTCCTTGCTGACCCCAGCCTCCGCTGGTAGTCACTAAATTTAGTCTTTTATATCTATCTCCCAGGATACCTTCATTTTCTAACACTCTAGAGGGCTAGCAATTCTTTTGCCTTTTAATCTTTTCTTCAACTAAGGTGTAAGAAAAGCCACATCTTAACATTATCCATATCTTCAAGTCTGTCCAAAGTATTGAATTTTAGGAATGGTCATAATTTAAGGATTCACAAAAATTCAGCTCTCAAGACAATAATAACCTAAGTTCCCAGCATTCAAGGGTGTGTCATTCAAGGGTTAAAACAAGCTTACATTGAAATTGTGCTAGCTTTTTTGTTTGATAGACTGGCTTAAACAAAAATAAAATTCTATTTTATTGAGCACTAAGAATAAAATGGGGAAGAGAATACAATAAACAAAGCCTCCTTTGACCATGAAATGATTTATTTGAACAAGAAAGCAGGTGTGTTTTTTTTTTTTGAAAGTGAAATATTCACAGGCAATGGAACCGTTGTTAGCAGAAGAAATGGTGAGACCAAGTTGGTTAGAATATGTTTATCTGGCTGATAATGATTATGAATGTAAATGTCTAACCATGAGTCCTGAGAGGAAAGAGTAAACAGCTTCCACCTGTGGGATAGCTGGGCTAGCAGGCTCAAGCAGTCCCCAGTCCATCACCAGCAGCTCCAGGTACAGAGGACTCCTACCTGCTGCATGCCACTTCCTTTGAGGAACTCAGGTATGGTTACACTCCTGTGAAACCTGAAGGCATGAACAATCTGCCGAACAGCTCAATCACAACCTCCCTTCTGTCTGCTACGGTTGTCCTACCTTTCTGCGCCAGTATTTCTTCCAGTCTTTCTGAAGTGTGGCCATCAACTGAGAATACAGAGCCTTGCTCTGGTGGCAGGAAACCATATCATTTCTGCACTTATGATCTAATTAGGTCCCATTATTTCATGCTAAGAATACTGAGTGTTGGCTCCCATGATCACACACACCTTTCCATTTCATTTCCATTTCTGTTGTTTCCTCAATAATATTTACAAATAGTTGAAATCATCCTGCCTATTATTTGCTTAATTTTGTCTTCTTTGTGAGCCTGGAAGCACAGGAGATCTGCTCTGTCCTGATCATCCCACTGTGACTAACCTAGAAGACTGCTTGGCACATCCTCATTTCTCAATTAGTATTTGCCCAATGGCTCAATTACAAGCTTTGCTTCAGGTTGAAATTTTCATCAGGAACATGCCGTTTTCTTGTGAGTTAGTGATCTGTGCGTTGAATGGACAGAAAAGTAAATTTCAGTATTGATGCTTTCCTAGCATATAATCTCATTTCTGTATCTTCATAGAAATTATACACAAGGTAACTAACTGGTGAAAGGTTACTCCCAGCTTAAAATTGCACAGTACATGACATCATTCTAGAAGAAGTGGACTTCGAGGTGTGAGTCACAGTCTAAATATTACCTGTTTGTTCAAAGGTGATAACTGGTTCTAGCACAGCACAGGTGTTCTGTAAACACTTTGCAAAATGGATTGAACAAAAGGGACAAACAGAACAGACACTGAGAAAGAAAAGCAAAGAAAAAAAAACAGAAATGAGGTTTGAGTCAATTGCCCCCCACCCCCAAAATGTGAATATACTTTCCTCTTTGCTTCCCAACTCTATCCTGGTTTTCGTGTTGTTCATCTTCCTGGTATCTTCTACCTAAGGATGCTCATATAATGTGTGTTGGCACTCAGGGGAGAATGCTGATTTTATTTTTCATTTTTCCTTTCCTTTGTTTTAATTGCTTTTGATAAAAACATTTTATACATGTCATAGGTGCAGTTCCAAGAAGATAACCAGGTGTCTTCCACTTCCTCCCCCCTCCCATCTCTTCATCACTTTTTACAAGGACAATTTTAATTCACTCTATATCCACAGGCTTAACTCACCACTACTCATAATATTCAACAAATAAACAACTTGTGATCTCACATCATGCTTTAGATTTTTTTATGGTAGAAGTTGAAATGAGGAATATTCATGGTCTTCATAGTTAAACCTTTCCACAAAACTGTTTTTTTTTACCCTGCCAAGTTAACACTGGAAGAATCCAAGGTTTTAAATTGGCACAAAGGAATTCAAGAAAGAATGTAGTTGGATTATCAATTGCTTCAGGAATGGGTAATCAAATTGACTTCTTTTGTGGTGTTGCATGAGAACGGAGTACAGGAATCTGCTCTGTCATTGCCATTATCTTCCTCTGTGAAAACTCAACAAAGTGGCTTGGGACACAGAACCTCAGTGGACTGCAAATCTGTTTCAAGAGTGCATAACAAAATGTTAATGAAAAGTAGAATTAACGGGCATATTTATTTTAATGCAAAACATTTTTGCACTCTAGCTATATGATATATCTTCAAAAAATTCCTGAAAAGTTCATTTTATGAAAAGTCTATGCATGGAATTTAAAAAATTGCAGTAAGACAAATTTAGCTTGTTATTCCCATTTTGAAGAACTTTCTGAATTACTCCCACAGTTGAAGAAAAATATGAAGATTTATTTCTACCTCCAGTGCATCAAGAGTAACAGAGATGGTAATACGATGTGAAGAAACACAGACTGATCTCACTTAGCTTAGTTTAACCGAAGTGTAGAATACATAATATTTTTGTTAAGTACTATTTTTTCTGGTATACTTTTTTCGGCTTTTCATAGGAGGGCTTCATTTCAATGCTACTTGATAAGGTTTTACACATCAGATCATCCCAAAATTTTCTTCCAATCTCATATCATTTCAGTTAGTTATCATTCCTGGATCCATGTGAACACTATATTGTTTCAGCCACGAGAATATTATTCAGGCTATAACACAACAGAACTTTTGCTTCTTAGTTACTCTGGCAAAAGGTGTAGCTGGTAAAAACTCCATGTAGATGTTAATAACCTTATCAGAAATTTCTCTCACTATTTTAAGTTAAATAAAAATTGTTTCTGTGTACCGAGACAATCATATATATAATTATATAATATAATATTATTTACAATATATTATGTATATAATATATATTATGTATGTCTTATATAATATTTAGCTATGCCCACCAAGCAGGGATACTTTTCAATCCATCTTGTTATTCTGGAGGCTTGAATAGCAGCCTCATCCACTACCTGTTTTCCATATTTTATTTAGGAACATCAATGAGGCAGATAAAAGAAGACCATCTTGCAGTTATGAACCCCTATGGTAACATCCACAATACTCATGTTGTAAATGTCAAACGTCCTGCCAGCTGGAGCATGAATTACAAGAGAAGAAGCTGCCCTTGCAAGTCCATAATCTCCTACAGGAATAAGGGAAATAAAAAGACTAGCCTTATTTTTTAACCTACCCCTAGTGTTTAGTAAGAAGTGTTTCAGTGCATTCTTCTCCAAACTTACAATTGATACAAGATGGTTAATGCTCATATTTATTTCCACACACACACACACACACGTTAAAGCATCTACATGAACTGAAGAGCTATTGTGAAGGTGTTGGGCATACTGTTTCACTAGCACTTTATCCCATTTTATTTGCATGTACCTTTTATTCATCTTCCTCATATCCAAATCTGCTCCCTCTTCAAAGTCAACACATTCTCAATTTAATAATGATCATCAAGGGTTTTCTGCCCCTGATCCTCACAGTTCCCAGCAGATGCATTAGTAACTACATTTATGAAACACTCCTTTGTCTTCTCAGAGAACCAATAGTTTGCTATTTCCCTTTTGCCTGCTGAGAGGACTTTTCTCTCGCTGTTGTGGGTTTGGATTGTTTCCGGCCAAAAGTCTGTGGCCAGACACAAGTCACTGCTGTTCCTGCCAACAAATCTTTCCTTGACT